CAAAAGAGCCATACTGCCTGACATGTGTCATCATCGCAATGTGGGGTTAAATGACTATAATTCCAGTCTCCACTGCACATGCTCAAGGTGTTTGTGTTCACATGAGTCTGCAGTTTAAACAACCCTAGTGAGGAAAATGATCTGCTCATTCTATGGCCTAGTGGCATAAAATGATAGAACAGCATTTAATTACATTTTTGGTGAAAGACTAGGATGCAGAGGGACATTATTCACAGGTTTGTTGCAAGGCAGAAAATACTAAAACAATTAGTCAGTGATCTGGAAAACCTCTTGCTTCATTTATGCATTTGTGTTTTAGGTTTCTATCAGTTGCACAAATATTGAAGGTGCTTTGACTTAAATCGTCTATATTCTTGTGCTGACTTACACTTGCCCCTGTGTGTTCAGGAGTTTCCTCTACCTGGGAGCTGGACTGAGCGTGGGCCTGAGTGGGTTGGCAGCAGGCTTCGCAATTGGCATTGTGGGCGACGCAGGCGTGAGGGGTACAGCTCAACAGCCAAGGCTTTTTGTGGGAATGATCCTCATCTTGATTTTCGCTGAAGTCTTGGGTCTCTATGGGCTCATTGTTGCCCTCATTCTCTCCACGAAATAAAACAGCAAAAACATGTCCACAAGATCAATCCTGTATGTTGCTGCTGGAGAAAAAGTGTAAAATGGGGGAAAAATAGTAAGATTTCTGCCACACAAGATGAAAGAAGTGAAGGCAGGAAAAAAGAATTAAAACGGCTCCATTAATATGGTCTTATCTCAACAGTGTGTACAGTTGTCCCAATTTGATAGTTCACTTGTAAATGCGCAATGTAGTGATTTGTCTGTCGTGTGTGTGTTCAAACATTGTATGATAATTCCTTCTCTTTTTCCCTCCACTTATTTCGGGCCTTGAGGCCAGCTGAGGCAGCTTGGCCTCTGGTCTAAGAGAGCTGACCAAAGGGCCACACAGTAAATCCTCCACCAATATCAACTTGGAGGTTGACACAATTTCTGCATTAAGCTTGAGGATCAGTTTGTAAAGAGAAATGTGTATGGACTCAATTTCTTCCACTGATTTTTATTTATAAGAAATTGTTCATTGAACTGTCTAATGCAGTCTTTAAATCCCTAGAATATATTATACATACATAAGGACCTATTTAGACTTAATGCACTGTGGGTTAATTGTCATAAGTGGTTGGAGTATAATTTTTGGTTAATTATTAAGGTTGCCTTTAGTATGTTGCTGGTGGAGTGGGAGTTTTGTGTGTAGCTGTATTCTGATCATTACGCAAACATTCACAAACATCAGTGTTTTTCCTGTAGTACTGCTGTTTGCATTAAAGGTGTGTCTGTGCGCCCCGTGTTGGGTCTCACAAGTGTAATTTCCAAAATTCATCTTTTGCAATCCCCTGCCCCCTCATTTGTGGTTGTACTTAATCTCTTTCACATTCCAGCCATTAAAATCCTGCATGGGTTTCAGTGTGGTGTTGCTGTTGAATATGAAGTTGAAGAGCAGACTAATCTCAGAACACTTAATCTAGATCAAAAGCTAGTTTCATATCCTTCACATTCTCCCTGCAGTTTTAACCAACAAGACTGGTAACATTTGTAGCATGCAGCAGTAAGAACGTTGGTGTGCAAGTTTGCCCTAGTTTGATCTGGAGTAGGTCTTATCGAAAATGAAACCGATGCTGCTGTGTTTACTGTTGTGCCACTCCACAATCCCATCTAAGAAATTATCCTGATGCACCATCATGAATGTCTTCACAACCTAATTAAAGATTCAGATTTGACTGGCTTCCAAACAAAATGTAGTGTTTTCAGTACTGTATATTTCACTGACACCTTTAGAGTTGTACAAGCATCATGACTTTATCACCTATTACATCAGTATGTCCCTAAAATCACTGCAAAACAGACTAGCTAAATTGCCGTTGATGGTATTCATCTCTTCCTTTTGCTTGGCTGAGAGCTGGTAATCACTGCTCAGTGGCTCACTTCTCAGTAACTGCAGCACTGAAAGATAACTGCACACAATGCCTGCATTGTACTCCTGGCAGTATGAAAAGGTAATCTGTACAGGAAAAAGAAAACGCCATATACATTTCACAGAACCTGCGTGCTAAAATCTGAACATACTCCAGAAATTTGAGTGAAATTGTCATGATCAAGCTGCTTGGAGATTGTTGAGCAGAGTCTGAGAAATACTGCTGATAGCACTGAAGGTGGCACTGTCAGGAAATGACTGTATGAAGTCTCTGCCCTCCTCTAGACTGGTGCCGAGCAGAGGATCCAAGGGCATAGAACCTGAAATGGAGAAGACTGTTGATTACTGATCAACATTACTGACCTAACCAGTTTAGTTTTTGCAGTATCACTATGAGAAATGATTCACAGCTACCTTAAAGCAGAAAGTATCCTTCTCAAGTGATGTTATTCATAATTAAATTAAGTGGGTGTTCGGGGTCACTGGCTTATCAAAAACAGTACAACCCTTTCCAGCTGACTAAAGCTGTGCAACATTGTCAGATAAAGCTGGCTTCTCGTTGCCACAGTGGAATCAGCATCATTACTTAAGGGACTGATTTACACACAAAGCTGATAAGTGTTGAAGGAAACTATTACTGACCAAGAAATATTGAATAATACGTATCAAGCTTCCACTGCTGCACTCAAATGTTGATCAAGACTTTGGCAGCATAGCATGAATGGTAAGTGAGTTGTGTGTTAATATTACATGTCATTCAGCCCCGTTGATCTCACCTAGGAATACTGATCCAGTCAGTTTGGCCAACTCTTCGCCACCACCCTTTGAGAATATATTGGTGCATTCCTGAAAACAGATGGTATGTATTAAAATGGATGCAGCCTGGCAACACAGAACCTTGGCAAAAATATATTTTTTGGCAAATATCCAATAAAGTGCATACTAAAACCAGACATTAAGGCAGTTGAATTATAGATTGGCTTTATATCCTGTCAGATGTGGATAAACATTTAACTACAGTTTTATTAGGAGGCATTTGTATTTCACATCTGAATTGTCCAAATAATTGTATGAATGTTTACTCACAGAGCAGTGTGGACAAACAAAGCCACTCATGTTCTCTATGATACCCAGGATCCGTACACCTGTCTTCTTACAGAAGGTGATCTCTCTCCTTACATCCCCTGTAGATACTGCCTGTAGCCAACACAAGACCAGTTTTCACTGAAAGTCATGCATCTTACAGGGGTTTCTGGTTAGTGCTCAGTCTATAGCATTGTAATATGTAGTTGGTCTCAGCAACTAACTTGTTTAGAGGGATTTACAAGACAGAACGTACATATTTCTTAGAAGCAATTCATTGTTTTGTTGCTTTCTAGGTATACAAGAGCAATGACAGGAATTACACAGCTGGACCAAAGTTTCCAAATTACTTGAAAATACAGTACTGTGCAATAGTCTTAGGCCACAATTAGATTTGTTTTAGCAATGTTGACTTTATATATATTTATTTCTCAGTCTCTTAATCAGAACACAACTAGAAAATTTAGGAAATGTGTACACATTATTATAAAAAGAGCCAGAAAAAAGCAAACAAACTGGATCCTCAAGATGTGGTATTCAAGCTGTTCTAAAGAAAAATGAAGAACTCGGAGAGGTCAAGCACACAAACAGGAGTAGACCAAAATCTGATGAGAAGTTTCTCAGTTTCTTCTTTGAGAGACCAGGGGAAATATTATGTACACATTTTCTGTATTTATCTTAATAAAGAGACTGAGAAATATAAATTATTACATCCTTGCTACAACAGAAAAACTAACAGTGGCCTAAGACTTTTGTACAGTAGGCTACTGTACACATACTGAAAAAGTAAATGGGCAAAGCTACAACTGTGATCTTACATCAGTCAGTGTAAACCTTCCCTTACTGGTTCACCCACATGATTTTATTTAATTGTCTTTGTCGTGCTATGTACAGCTGGGTCTATACTGGAAGTTTAGTGTATACCTGTGGTGTGGTGACCAAAATGGCACCGTCCACTCTGTGTTTCTTGAGGTTTTCCAGTACCGCTAAATGCTCATCAGATGTTCCTGGTGGCGTGTCCACCAGCAACACATCCAGCTCTCCCCATGCTACATCTGACACAAACTGGCCAATCAAAGCTGCAGGACATGACATTCAGAGATAGAAAGGATGTTAAGCAGAATTTGAGAATAGGTTCATGTACAAAACAATGTCCCAGACCAGATATGGACCAGTACAACTGGAGAGTACCATACCAGTTTTCTTGGGGCCCCTCCACACCACTGCTTCATCTGGGTCCTCCAGTAGGAAGCCGATGGACATAAGGGCGAGGCTCTTCTCGGCATCAGTGTAGACTGGCACCCATCCTGAGTCACACTGGTGTACATCAGGCCGGCCCACACTCAGCATGCGGGGAATACTGGGCCCACATAGGTCAACATCCAGGATACCAACCTGGTGAACACAGTTGATCATTTCTCATGCAGCTCATTTCTGGACTTTTGTCTGAACACATCAGATACTGTGTACACAAAGAAACAGTTGATACATACAGGCAGACAGTAAGAATGACAGTGACTGCAGTAACTAATGGTGTGCATCATATGGATTATTTATAGTTTAAAATAGTGTTTGTACATGTATCAGAACCAGCTAGTAGCTCCTCTGAGGCTTTGTGTTTCCAGTGGGATAACAAATGCCAGTGTAATGTAACACCTTGGATACTGATGTACATTCACACAGGTGGTCTTTGAGCTCACCTTCTTGCCAGCATGCCTGAGAGCCAGTGCTAATTCTGTTGTGATGGTGCTCTTGCCCACTCCTCCTTTACCCGACAAGACCAACACAACATGCCGGACATGAGCTAAACTCCCATCTAATATGAAAAGGAGAAAAAGCGGGCTAGTTCAGCATGAGCGTAACACAAACGTTAAAACGACTTTTATTAACCATAACTGGCAGTAAATTGTAACACAACTGTCACAATAGCAGTTTATTTGAGAAGGTATCTGAAATAAGGGTTATGGGTCGAGGTCACATTTCATCAACCGAATTCAAAGGTTAGCTAGAGTTCCTTGTGAATAACCCAAAGGTCAATATTAGCCACTATGTAATAGCTTCTTCTTACAAATATTAACCTCTCTGGGATTGAAGCCTTTTCTGTCATATTGATCATTTTATATTTTATACCACCTGCCAGGGGGTGCATACTTAGCTCCCACTTAGTGTCTGCTAACAAGTTAGATAAGTCATACTGTGTGTGGCTAACACGCAGCAGTTTCTGTCAACAGCCATCTCTTAGAATGAATATACACAGCTAGAGCAATAATGAACAAGCTACGAGTAAATATAAATCCTCTTAACAAACTCTGTTGACTGGCAAATTCACCCTACCATTAGTTTGTTCCATAGTTTAGAGTTAGGGCTACAGGATTCAACCATAGACTCTGGTTATCGCCGACATGCACGAGTCAATTACTTCCGTGTATCGTATCGTCACGCAATATCTATCCAATCACCCAGCACAGCACCTAAGCCCCGCCTCTCACGCAACACCACCGAAAGGCTACCGGGGTGTGCCATGGTGTAATCAACTGCGCAATAAATGTTCCGTATAAACAGAAAATGGCTGCTTTTAGTATTGGCCTATAACTGAAAGTCTTCTGTCTTTGATTGACTGAAAACAGTGGTAACGTGTTATATGAAAACAGTTTTTACAAAATGGGGTTTTAATACTCATATAGATATGTTCTATGTTACAAATCATATCTCGCTTCCCAAAATCTAGACGCAGGCAAAACAAATTCACTATAAGGAATTTATATAATAATGTCCAGTATGATCATAAAATAAATATTGAAATATGCACAGTATTTTGGGTTTGGCAAATAACTGGTATCAGTAAATACCAAGTATAATAAAGAAGCCACCGCCACGCTGTTCCTGCCTCCTCTCACATGAATACCCACATGATGGCCAGGTATTCCCCTCATTATGCTAATAAGTCAGCAGATCACACACGATGCATCCACATTCTTTGCACCTAGGCTACAGTTATTACCCAATAGTTGCCCCACCTACTACCGAGAAAGGAAACTGAGTAGATTAACATAAACTCCTCCTCCAAACAGATCTTATCCGGTAAGCGCAAGATGAGGGCGTGGATGGCAATGTTTACGTCTGGCTTGCTGAGAAGTGGGACAGATAGAAACTTGGAACCCAAATGAGCCACTGTAAGACTGTGCATAGGAAGGCTACTAAGGTAAGACCATAACTGCTTCTAAATACATAATGCTGCTGCTGCAATGTAGGTGGCTGAGTTTCACATAAAGAAACAACTAAATGGACATTTGGAAACTGAACAAATGCCCCATGCATACAAAAAGGAGCTGATACTATTTTAATAGGATGACTTATAGTGAGAATCAGTGTTACTGCACCGATCTGTCTTCTCAATAAAGGTTGAGATTGTGGTGATTGAAACTGGAAACTCTGGGCAGGACTCAGACAGTGATTGTTTGATTTTGTAACAAAAAATCTAGATATTTTAATATCTTAAAATAACTCCATATCACTGTCGCAGCGCTATTGTGACCGTATTTCTATCATAGCCATCAGTTCACTGGCTCACAAGGTAGTTTGTCCTGACTGGGCCATGCAGATGATGCATTTAGTATGTAGGGTAAGGCCCAATTAAAGTAGGACTACCGCCAGACTAACTCATGTAAATTATTGGCAGTTATCTCCAGCACCTGCTTGTGAAGCAGTTACCAGCTGCTGCGTCCAGTGGCGTAAAAACCAAGACATGCTATGGAGGTATAGGAGGTCAAGGGAATAAATTGGCCTATCTTCTGGAGGTTCGAAGTGTGGACTACTTATATTGCAATATGGAGTATATTTATAGAGTAAAATAATTCTTTTTAATCCAGAAAACTTTTTTTTTACCTTCTGCAAATTGTTTAAAAAAAAGAAAACTCACTCTGGTTTAATTTTCAGAAAAACAAAACACTGCAGCTGAGGCAACTGATTGTAATGATTACTGCCTACAAGAGTTTTTAAGCCGATTTGTCAGCTTTGTTTTGGTCAATAAATCAGGAGCATTATGTTATATTGTACAATTGTTCCATAATGGAGAAAACTGACATTTCTCAAAAAGTGGTAGTTAATATTGAGGAGGTTACTTTTTTTTTTAGCACATAGTACATAAATCTATTTCTATTGTCAAAGTAGTAGAATTAAAAGATAATTATGTCAGAAAGTGTCAGTTAATTTTAGCAAACGTGTAAACACAGTTTTATTCATTATGATAGTTACACAGTACACATTGTAGTGAGTAGGTTGGGAGACCTTCTGTTTGTCTTTCTGCTGATAAAGCTAACTAACATGCTGCTATCAGTGACAGTCCAGGGGGTTGGGTTTAAAGGTTAAACAAGTGGATGAAAACACTACCTGTTGTCAACTGTGGCATATGGGACAGATACATATAGGCAAGCTAGCACACAAAGATCTGTCTGTAGATGACAGTTAATGTTTCCTCCCAAGGATATTTTGCAGCTTCCAACAGACTTGAAGAGCTGATAATGAATGTTCAGCATTGTCTAGAAATGGGCTTAACTTGTAATTTGGAAAAACACACAATTGAATTGTTTATCTTTCTTAATATAAGGTGCACAACCTAAGATGCCATACTTACCTAAATGGTTTATGAGATATGTATCATTTATATTCAGTAAAATGAGTACATGGTTAATTCCTAGAAAGCCCCCTCCACTCTGAAACAGGAAGTTATTTCAGTCTCCCTTTCTTAAATATAGCCTGTAAGGAGAATGTGTCATCAGATATGCATGTGTCAAAAGTTAATCTAACCTTAACTGACATAAATAAAAAGTACACCACCTGCTATACATGTGCCACTAGGTCATAAAGTGTTGGGCCTGCTGTCCAGAACTGCCATGCTGAGAAGAGGCAGGAACGGCCAAGCTCAGCATTTGGCCTGGAGTGAAACACAGCCAGAGACAGATACCATGGCAGGGTTCCAGACATTGGACAGAGAGGAGTGGGAAGGTCAGACAACATCACAGGTGAGACACTGTAGGGTAAAATAAAACATGAAAATTGATCAAATATAATTAAAGAAGTGCAGGTAAGTGATGATTTAAAAGAAGATGGTGTTGATGGTATGGGAACATTTAGCTGAAATGCATATTTGCTATAACTGGAGAAAGAGACATATACAGGAATCACTTTCTTGATGTTAGAAAATAAGAAATATTTAAATCCCAGAGGCACTTAAAGAGAAGACATGACCATGTATATGTGTTATATTTCTACCTGAGTGCCAGTAGTTTTCCACTGGGACTGTCCCGTCTGGAATGGCAGTGTACAAGACCTGCTCAGGTCTCCAAAGGCAAGGACAGGAGGGTCAATATTTTTGGAAGGGGTCTAATTTTACTTACCAGCACACATGATCTTTTTACTCTCTAGGGGCCAGGAACAGCTTGAAGGGAAAAGGCTATCTTGTTGTCTTTGAAATGTGGTGTGCAGGTTATACTGTACATCTCTCATTTGGCTTTTAGATTATAAAGTGCACCACTGGCTGATCTTCCTGTCCAGCCTTGGCAACCTGTTCTACTTCTGTTGCTGTTTTCTGCCATTATCAAAGGATTGTTCTTTACTAAAAGGCCAGCTGCCAGTGGAACTGAGAAAAAAAAAAATTAAATATAAGTTAATTCTTTTCCTTGCTATCAAGCCAACAGCTTTGTACCACGAACAAGTCTGTGGACTTAAAAGATGTTGTTTGTTTCAACCAGATCAGCGATTCGGAGTCTGAGGGGGGGGATTACTACATGGCCAGTTCCCATGCTGTCTCTGAGGTGGAGGTCTTGCCCGGCCCAGTACCGGTGATAGGGGAGTCTTTCTGCCAGTGTGACCGACAGGAAGCGCTCAGCCCAGGCCTCAGTCTCATCAGTGACTGCCTCTGTGGGGAAGAGGATCAGGGTGAGCACAAACTGATGAATACAGTAATGGCTTCATACAGTGATGGCATTATATGAAAAGTATAGAGATCAACGACATTAACAAGTCATCTGGTTGGGCCGTCCGATTCTATGGTGATCCATTCAGCAGTCCAAACCAGAAATATTAGTGTCATGTGGTACCAAAGGAAAAGTCAGGGAATCAGGCTATCCTCTGGGGACTATAAATGCCTATATCAATTTTCATGGAAATCCATTCAGCAGTTGTTCAGATATTTCAGTTAGGACCACAGCAGTTGACTAACTACTAGCAGACACTAACATCACTACCTCCATGCCATTAGCATGGGTAAAAATAAGAACAAACAAACTATGAACTCATAACTATCCAGCCAGTATAGCTCTTAATCTTAGGTGTGTTCTTAGGTTTTGACTGGGTGTGGGACGAGCACTTTAAGTCCTCCGGAGCCTTCCTCAGCTGTGACAACAGGAAGGTGAGCTTTCACTCAGACTACAGCTGTGGCACAGCTGCCATTCGAGGCACCAAGGAGCTAGTCGATGGCCAACACTTCTGGGAAGTCAAGATGACCTCTCCTGTCTATGGCACTGATATGGTGGGTATCAGTCCGTTGAACAATATTTAAGCATTCCTGTATATTAAATACTGACATCATCTTCTGATGAGACAGAATTACTATTATTCTCTTTTGAGGTTTTGTTTCCTGCTGTTTCATTGGTGTAGATGGTGGGAATCGGAACGTCAGAGGTGAACCTGGAGAAGTTCAAATACAGCTTTGGCAGCTTGCTGGGCCACGATGAAGACAGCTGGGGGCTTTCATACACAGGTTAGAGGGTCAGAGTGTTGGGATTACAATAGACTTTGAGTTATCAGAGTCTGTGAAAATGGACAAAGACTTTTTGACCTAAATTATCAAAAACTCAAGACAAAATGATTTCTGTTTAAAGGTCTCCTCCAGCACAAAGGGCACAAAGTGAAGTTCTCCTCTCGATTTGGGCATGGCTCCATCATAGGAATACACCTGGACACCTGGCACGGTACTCTGACCTTCTACAAGAATCGGCACTACATAGGTGTGTTTTCCTGTAAATAAAGCCACATACTGTGGAAAAAACAGTATTTTAGTCATGAAATAGGTAAAGTGGTTCTCAGTCCTTACGTGCTTTCACCCTGTGATGACTTCTGCTGCAACAGGTGTTGCTGCCACTAGGCTTCAGAACAAGAAATTCTACCCCATGGTGTGTTCCACAGCAGCCAAGAGCAGTATGAAGGTGATCCGTGCCTGCTATACACCCACCTCCCTGCAGTACCTTTGCTGTGCCCAGCTCCAGCAAATGTTGCCCTACTGCACAGACTTACTCAATACCCTGGAGCTACCCCCGGGACTGCGCACTGTGCTCAACACACAGCTGGGCTGGGTCTTCACCCTCAGCGGGAGCCCTGACGTCTCAGAGGAGCACAGGGACTTGCCAAAGGACTTCGATGAAGAGATGAGCTTGCTTTCAGGCCCCACTTACAGCCCTATCCTGAGCACTGTATCTACACCAAGTGCCTCAGCCTCCCCGAGCCCCTGCACCAGTCCATTCCCTGACACCATCCTGTACCAGTGCCCCTGTCAGACTTCACCTCAAACTCAGCCGTGCATGTGCCACTGCCCTCCAACTCCTCGCAGCAGTGACTACGACAGCTGCTGCTCTGAAAGAGAGGATTACCAATGCAAAAGGGGGCGCTGGATCTGACTTTGGTGGCAGCACATATTTTTAAGTGTTTGGTACGCAGCAATTCTACCACTGCCATCAACATCAACTGCTGGAAATCATGAGCAAAACAGCAGTCTTACCATTTATCAAGTAATTCCTAATTAACCTTTTGAGTGGATTGATGCTCCTCTTTTTAAGTTGCCATTTTTGTGTCACTCAAACAACTTTGTAAAGGTATGGAGAGAGGAGGAGAGGAGGAGAAGAGAGTGAGTATGTAATGCTAAGATATTAGAGTGACATTTGGGTCACTGATTCTCATTTTAGTCTACTCCTGTCATGAAGTTAAGAAGAGCCATTTATAATGCTGATTATTTTTCATTAAATTTCTAAAATTCACCAGTCACTGTCTTTGCAAAACCTAAGGTGTGCCAGATTAGAGCCTGACCAAAAAAAAAAAAACAACCTGTAACACACTTGTGAAAGTGTGCAT